ACTTTCTTATTCTTCTTTTTATATTATGTTTAATGATTTGAACTTATCATATTTATGATTTAATCTCATCATCATCATATTTTCTTTTTTATTCTTTAGTAATCTTTAAAATTATTCATTAATTATTCTTAAATTATTTCAACTTCATTAATTTATTAGTGTGAATTATGTTCATTGATTGTTAAATTATTACTATAGTATATTATTATTTCATTTTATCCATTTTTAATATATTTTATTTTTTTTGATACTATTTATTTAATTAATAATCATTATGAGTTGTTTACTGTTTTTATAATTCTCTTCAATTCAAAAAGATTTGTTGTAAATAAAATTATAATCATTAACTTAATTTGGTTATATATTTTATATCTAACAAATAAAAAATATTTTATGATTTATACTGTAATAGAATAACTTATATATTAACAACATCATTAAATGATAAAATAAAAGATTGATGAATGAAAACGATGAACATAAAGAAGATAAAAGAATAAATATAATTAATATATTACATAATGATGATATTATATTTAAATAATGTTTGATTCCCATTTATTCAAATTAATAATGTCTTAATTATACTTTTATCATTTTATTTTCTATAAGAAATGAAATGTGAACAATAAAGAAATGAATTAAGAGAATAAAGAAGAAATAATAATATTTTATTATAATAACACATTTCAATTGATAGAAACAACATAAAATAACAAAGAATAATAAATCACAAATATAGAATAATAACATCCATAATAAAACAACAGAAATAAACTAATATTATAAAGAAATAATAATATAATTATAAATTAACATGAATAAACAATAAATGATGAATATATTCTTAAAATAATAATGATTTGAATTATGAATTGAAATTATTATTCATTTCATTCATTATTGTTGTTATTGTTTATGATTTATTTATTAAATTGAATGTTTATTTAATTTTGTTGATTAAAATACAAAAATGACATGAATTTTAATTTAATATTTCATTCTATTTATTAATGAATTGCAAAATACAATAATATGATGAAATGAATAATAAAATGATTGAATCATTAAGAAATAAAATGAAAGTAAAAGATAATCATAGGAAATGAAGAAACATATTTAAAGAGAAGAATTGAAATATATTTCATTCAATGCTTATATTTCTATTGATTATTGTAATTAGTAATGCAACAGAAAGTATTACCAATAAAGAAGTAATTCATACACAAATACAATCAAAACAACATAAAATAATGTACAATTTATATAAAGCAGAATTAAAAGGTGAAGTAACAACACAAATAACCGATGAAGTACCAAAAAGTTCCCAACCAACAGTTCAAAAAGAACAAAGGAGTGAAGAAGATACAAACACAAAAGAAGTTGGAAGTACATTAAATCCAAAGAATAACCCAGAAGACAGTGAAACAGGTAAATCACTAAATACAAATACAGAAAACAAAGTAGATAAAGGTGTTAATGAACCAGCAAAAGGAGGTGAAGTCAAAACAGAAAATAATGCAGAAACAGAAACAAATAAGCAAAGTGAAACAACTGATAAAGGATTAAATCCAGAAAGTAGTACAACAGGACAAGAAGAAACAACACCAAAACAAACTAACGCAGGAAGTACAGGAAAAGGAGAAGATCCAGTACCAAAAAGTGAAGGGGAAGTACCTTCTACAAAACCAGGAAGTAGTGATAGTGAAAAAGGACAAGAAAGTAACAAAAATGGACAAGGAGACAGTGGTGTAAACGAACAAGGAAAAGAAGGAAGTGGTACTGGTGCAGAAAGTAAAGAAAAAGGAGAAATAAATGACAAAGGAAAAGAAGAAAAAGCAACTAATGAAAAAGATGGTGGAAATACGAAAGATAAAGAAGGAAAAGAACAAGGAAATAGTGTGACTGACGATGGACATAGTAATAAAAATGGTGAAAGTAACAAAGAAAAAGATGGAAATAGTGGAGAAACTGGGCAAAAAGAAGAGTCTGGAAAAAATGGAGTTGCTGGACAAGATGAAAAAAATGGAAGTAATAAAACCAAAGAAGAAAAACAAGACAGCAAAAATAATGACAAGAATGACGATAAGAAAAAAGCAGAAGATGAAAAAAGCAATGAACAAAAAGATGGAAATCAAGAAACAGATAATGGAAATAAAATAACAAGTAGTTCAGATAGTTCTGATAATAAATCAGATGATGATATAAATAATCATAAAAATCTTGATGGCGCAACATCTTCATTTCTTATTCTTTGTATTATCATCACCTTTTTATTCTTCTAATTGAATATATTTGTTTTATTTCTAGTTTTATTAATAAGATAGAATAATACTTCATAAAACTAAATAAATAGATTCATTCTATGAGACACAACAAATATTATAAAAATAAATAACAAAAGAAAGAGAAATTCATATCAACTAACAAATAAAAATGATAGAAGAATGTATGAAATATGTCTTATTTGTCTAGACAGAGATACATTAATCATTCCAATATTAATAACTATCACATTAATCATATTATGATTCATTTCACTCATTAATTCAATCATAGTCATTATCATAAATATTTTAACAACATTTTCAATCAAAACAGATATTATCATAGTAGAAATAAATATCATAACAACACTCAAAGAATGTATAAACAACATCAAAATAAAACTCAAAACAGAAATAAAAGAAAAGAAAAAGAAATGATAAAAGTACAAAATCAAGAATAATGGAAAAGACTCTTTGAATAAGAAATTAAAATATTTACACCACAAGAAATATATGAAATTAAGAAAAATAAGAGTAAAGAATATACATCACCAAAAATATGGAGAAGATGGTATTTTCTTGCACGAGAAAAAGAAGTTGAAAAGAAGCAGATGATAAACAAAAGAGTCTAATTGAATAGATGATAAAATAATAAATGATTAAAGAAGATAAATAAGAGAAAGATATTTGAAGAATAAGAGAATAGATATGAAGAAGAGGAAAATGCAAATAAAATAATAAAATAATAAAGAAATAGAGAAAATAAAGAAGAGAATAGAAAAAGAACAGAATTATTAAGAAATTAACGAAAAGTTTGTGATATTAAAGAAGAAGTATGAGAATGAGATAAAACAATTGTGTTATAGAAGTATTTAAATAACATGGTTACTCTGAAAAGAAAATATCAGAAGTAAACAATCCATCACAATAATTATACTTCAGGAAAGATAAAATATATAAATTAGAAAATAAAAACACCCAGAATAAAGATGAATTAAAATTGGAGTATAAAATACTCATCTGAAACACAAATTGTAAATGATATCTCTCCACCAATGTTGTATTAGCTGATGAAATATCATCATGCGAAGATAATCTTTAAAAAATAAAGTTAATTCAGAATTTCATTGAAGAAATAGAAATTGAACATAAAAATCACACCATTTGAATCAGATTATCAATAAAAACAATTGAAACAAACAAACAGAGAAGAAGAAATTTTAACACTTTATAAATGTTTTGTTTTGAAATTATTTGAAAGAAAACATAAAATGTCAACAATAATAAGAGTTAATAAAAAGATTAATACATGAATTTAGAATTAAAGTAAATGGTATTAATGAATATAAAGAAGTAATAAAGAGTGCATTTAAAATAATAATGAAATTAAAAGAGAAATCAATAGAATAATGGAAGAAGAAATAATAAAACATCAATGGAAGATAATGAAATAAAAGAAATAATAACTAGAATGAACAAGAAAGAGAAAGAAGAAATAGAAGATGATGAAGTAATGAAAATAATGAAAGAAGAAGAAATGAAAGAAAATGATGTACAATTTATTAACTACTATTACAACAATAAGAAAATAATGAATCAAATAACAATATTAATGAAAGTGAGTGATGAGTGAAAATAAAATAAATACAAAATGAACAGAAATTATATTTCAATTGAAATAAAATCATTAATTATTGTCACACTCGTGAAATATTTATTATTTTATACTCTAAATCTTAGATGGTATTAATGTATGAATGTTATGAAATGAATAAAATAATAGAATTAAAACATACCAAATTCTTTGAATATCATTTCAACATTCTTCACATTTTATATTTATCCATATCTACTTGTATTATTTATTATTTATTTTTTCTTTTCTTCTTCTATTCTTTGATTTTTAAATAAAAAGATATGAATTTTCTATTTGACTTAAATTTTCAGAAATAATTTAATAATTAAATTATCTTCAAATCAAATTCACTTTTATCTCTTGTTCACGTAAGTTTACTTCAATTCACTCTCTAAAAATAATCATTCTTCTGTTTCATACATATATTCATTATATTCACTATTTAGTGTTTTTATATTTATGATAATTATCTTTTCTTTGTTATTTCACATGACATTTCTATGCAAATTTCATTCATTGTTCTTCTTGTTTCATTATTAAATAATCTCAATATTGTTATTACAACCGTTATGGTTATATTTTCGTCATTTCTTCTATTTCCATCGTTTT